ACACTACTCTATATTCTTTCTCTACCCTATCTCATAATCAATAAAACTTATCTAAGTTTAATCAATTAAATTTCTATAGTTAGTAAGATTTTATTGATTTAAACTAAAAGTCAGTGAAATTTTATTGACCTTGTGCAATTTCACTAGTTTTGATAGTAAAATTTTACTGTCTTTGTATTGTTGACTGACCTTATTTAATATGACTGCATTTTGGTTAGAGAAATTTTACTAACTTTATTTTGTGAAATTCCATTTGGCTTTGGTTAGTGAAATTTCACTAACCACTTCCTAAGATAGTGAAAATTCAATTGACTTTCAATTTTGCACTTTTTAACCACTCAGTGAAATTTGATTATTTTCATCTAAAAGTAAAATTTCAATGTCCTAACATAGTAAAATTCAATTGACTTTCAATTTTTGAAAATTTAAGCAATTAATTGAAAAAATTTCTGTTTTGGAAATTGAAATTTCTTTAACTTACTGTAATGAAATTTCACTTCACTAGAGAGTTTCCAAAACTGATTACTAAGAAATGTCATTGTGTTAAGTTAGTGAAAAATTTCTTTTTGCTAGAGAGTTGCTAGAAAATGGTTATCGGCAACCAATAGTGGTCACTGAAAAGTTGTTGCCAATGACTAAAGGTGGTAGTGATAGATAGGAGTACTGGAATAATGAAACTAGACTAAGGGTAGTTTTATTTTGGAGAAAAAGTTAGTAAGCCTTAAACTAACATATTTTAGTTGTCTTTGAACTAACACAAAATATTTTTGGACAAATTACATCGGTAGTCTTTACATTTTGGTCTCTCAACTTTCAATTGGCTCAATTTTCACCATTAATTTTAAATTATGTCATTTTGGTCAAATTGATAATGTCTTTAGCGTTTTTGATGAAAAAGAAGCAGTGCTTTAGTTGAGTTTAACTCATTGAATTTAGTAAATTTATAATTTTATTCTAAAAAATATGACATATGCCACTTATATACATATTTTTCACAAAAAAATGTTAAGAATTGTAATAAATTGGATCAAATTGAAACAAAATCATAAAGTCAAAGTCAAAATCAAACCAATTGAAATTATAGGGATCAAAATGACACAAAGACCAAAATATAGGGATTACTGTTGCAATTTACACTTTTTTTTAGAGAGTTCAATTAAAAAAAAAAAAAAAAAAAACCATTTGAAAAAGTGCCATGTCAAGCTCTCAAGGTTTAATTGTTCCAAAAAAAAAAAAGGAAAAAGCGCTCTCAAGCTTTAAATGTTATTTGAATCAAAGTTGCCTTTGTTTATAATGTTATTTCAAAATTTATTATGTGGATCAAGTAGGTGATGGGAGCATATAGATACAACACAAAATCTGGGTTTCAAAGAGGAAGAATTGCTCATCAGTAAAATAGTTTTAAAATAATTGCACTATTACATGAAATTTTTAGTTGCAAGGCAGACAAACAAACAAAAAAATCTTGTTAAAACTTGCACCAAATACATGACAGACTCGCACCTCATAAAAATGTAATTTTTTGCGACTATCCAACTAATTTGAGATTTCCTCTTTTAAATATTGTCCAGAACTATCTGACATAACTCACGCCTCTGTTTTGCAATGTAATGAATAAAATCAATGCAGGTTTGGACCTTCCAGAAAGTAGACTTGCATTGGACTTACTATTCCCATAACACTAACCTTTTCACAGGAAATTTTCTTGAAATTTACTTGCATGTCTTATTAGTTCTGGATTCTATAGCTTGCATATCAATGAATAATATTTTATTTTTAATTATGTTATTATCACAGCTCAAAGACCAACTTGCTAGTGTAAACAAAAAGGGGAGGCAGAGACGGAGAGAGCCATTCATAGGTTTGGTATATAAGTCCATGGAACCACAGATTATCAAACACAAACAAAAGACGGGATTTAGAAAGTTGATTTTGAAGGTAATACCAACTATAAAGTAAAATAATTCTGTCACAAAACTACCCATCTCTGGACTGAATATTGCATATACAGACTATCAGTCACTTCCCATGACAAACCACCCACCTCACCTGAACACAACGAAATTCTATAACCAGGTGACACCGAAGAGAGATAGAGATCTCCAAGAATAGGTTGATCTTGAAATATCATCTCTCTCTCTCTCTCTCTCTCTCTCTCTCTCTATCTTTTGGTAGTATGCCCGTTGGGCCGTTGAGGTAATTGTGCTCCACTGCTACCATCCTGCATGCATTAACAAGCAGATGATTAATGTTCAACGCATAAAGAGACAAGTGTTGGTCTCAAAAAAGTAGCCCTCGGGCATGTTCGGTGTGCGACATTCCAGATTTTCAAGGAAGATAGCCTATGAAGCACGGATACTTCAAAAATGGTGCCGTCCGAGTACCGAGTACTTACCAAGTGCAAATACGCATACCGGATACACCGACTTCATGCCAGGTATAGCAATTACATTTGGATACGTCGTGAGTACGACATGGGTACGACACTGTACGGCAAGGTGATTTTTTTTTTTTTTTTTTTTGCGACTACTAAAATTTATTATTCTTTTTTCAATTTAAAAAATATCAAGTAATTTATTTCCATTACCCATGAGTCATGATTTTACTCTCCTTTGCATCTTGTTTTAGACAGTCAAAAAAGAAAAAAAATGAATTATATAACTTTTTAGACAAGCTGTTCTCTTTTTAATTTTGATATTGAAACTTTGATTTGTATGTTGGATGTTTAGCTTTTTTTTTTTTTTTTTTTTTAAAAAAAAAAAAAAAAAAAAAATTGACATACCCCAGCCGTATCTGTACCCATACCCGTACCTTACTTTTTTAAGAATTTGCCGTATCGGCGTATCTCATATTGTACCCATACCAGTATCCGTACCTGCATCCGCACCCGTACTTCACGGAAGACAACAATGTTAGATCAAATATCAACCAAAACGAGGATCCCGCATCCGCACCCGTGCTTCATAGAAGACAACAATGTTAGATCAAGTATCAACCAAGACGGGGATCAAAGATCTAATAATTTAACAGGTCCATCACCCTTGCTACACTAAACAATTGTTTCGTCCAACCACAACTTCCAACTTGTAAATACTTATCAAGATCGGCCCAAATCACAAAGAGCCCACAATCAAGGATGTGAGCTCTTTTGCCTCGGCAGATTAGTCATACCTGTCCACAGATGTGGATGTGTGTGTATGTGTGTGTGTGAAAGAGAGAGAGAGAGAGAGAGAGAGAGAGAGAGAGAGAGAGAGAGAGACCTCATATACAGTATAGCTTGTGTAATTCAGAACATAGGAAGGTGTATGGGAAGATCCTACAGTAAAAACATCAACTATCAGTAAAAATTAGAATTATCAGCATACAATACTAGCATTAGCATATATATCATATGCCACTCAAATGAGAAAACACTAAAAATGCTGGAGAAACAGATCCACTCAGGCAGGCTAAACAGTAACACACCAGAAAGGGAAAAACCCATGCAAAACCCGAATAGAATGCCATGTAGAGACGTTTAAAGTCATCCAAAAGGAAAGATCACAAATAATAACTGTGCTCCAATTAGAATACCAGATTGCATCAAACAAGTTCTAATCCAAATAAAAATCAATCTTTCAATTGTGAATTCAAACTTGAAATTCAAATCCTGGTGACCAAAATTTCTTGTGAAAACTCAGGTCCATGTTCTTTGGATGTCATCTTATAATGAATACAAAGTGATTGGTTGTCTATTTTCTTACATTATTACATATTTACTTCCCAATTAGGCATCATTTTAAACAGAATTATAAAGAATTTATTGTGTGTTAAGCCAAGCATAACAGTAGAAGATAAATTTCTGGTTCTTCCACAGTAACCCCTAATTTTTAGTATTCCCTCCAATTTTTGCAAAGTTCCAACAGGCAAGCTCATGCTTTAGGCAAAAGTTATAATAATGAATACAAAGTGATTGGTTTTGTCTATTTTCTTACATTATTACATATTTACTTCCCAATTAGGCATCATTTTAAACAGAATTATAAAGCATTTATTGTGTTAACCCAAGCATAACAGTAGAAGATAAATTTCTGGTTCTTCCACAGTAACCCCTATTCCCTCCAATTTTTGCAAAGTTCCAACAGGCAAGCTTATGCTTTAGGCAAAAGTTATAATTTCAGGTAATTCAAATCTTACCACATCATTCACACTCCCCACAAAAATCGCTGCAAGCAAACTACTTACTGTTTGACAACTATAATAAAGAAAAAACCATTATGGTACTTCCAACTGCATTAAAATTTGACATCCATCAAGAAACTTGGGATCAGATTCTTTTTTCCTTTGTTTTATTTTCTTTTGGGTTTTATTTATATATGTACTTCTTTTGGCGGCTTGGGGCCTGAACAAATAAGTCAAGTGACAAATGGATTACCTGCCCCATAAGCAGAGTAACCACTGCCATGCAGATCATGTCCACCAGCTCTGTCAACAAGACAAGTGACAAGTATACTGATCAAATTAATAAAATTGCAACTCAAAGCGGAACATGAAAATGTGTATGGAAAAAACCTTCTCAGTGCAACGTCATATGGATTGTGACTGTGTTTCCCAACAGACCATTCAAAATATGCTGCATGAGATTGACTTTGTCTTCCAACAGCAGGCTCAAGGTATCCAGCATGAGGTTGGCCACGTGTCCCAAGAGTAGGTTCAAGGTATCCTGCACTAGATATGCTGTGATTTCCTACAGCAGGTACATGGTATCCTGTGTGAGGTTGGCTTTGTGTCCCAACAACACTTTCAAGGTGTCCTACATGAGGTTGATACCGCATTCCAACAGTAGGTTCAAGGTACCCTGAAAAACTTCGGCTTTGCTTACGAGCAACAGGATCAATATACCCAGCATGCGGCTCCTGGAAAGCAACCATTTTACATGATCAAAACAGAAAATGGATAATTTCAAAACTAGTGAATGAAAAAGAATGTTACCATATCTGCATGGGACCTTTTAGATCCAGATACAGTGTTGTATGCATGGCTCTGGCAACTAACAGCAGGTGCAACATATCCTGGTGCATATGGATTTCTGTATTCAATGAAATCTGCACAGTAGTTTGGTCCTTTTCTAATATGAGGATCTCTCTCTGTCTTCTTGAAATTATTGTTTTGCCTTCCCCGCATTTTGCCTGCATATTCATGAAAGAAAAATCTTTCTCCAGAACCTTGTATAAAAGTAATCAAAAGGGTAACTAATTTAAGTCACTACAGGGTACTTTACTGTGTCTTTTCTTCGATGGCATTTCATTATGACCATGCTCAGCTCCTATCTTTCCATGACCTTTAGCCTTTAAACGTTGATTCTTTCTCTTGCGATTTGTCCTTTCCAACTTGGATGATGCTCGAACAGGTTGACCTTCAGTGACAGTTTTGGGTTTATTTGGTTTACCTCCACCAATTTCTGTCTCAGAAATAGCGTGGGACTTCACTCTTTTTCTTAACCTTAAATCCCCCACGAGTACCTTGCTTTTGAAGCCAACCCTTAAAATGAGGCTTTGCAATGTTAGCCTTAACCTGAGACTTTTATGACAGGTAAGAATATTGTTTCCCTAAGCAAAGAAAAGAAAGAGAAGGAAAAAAAATAACACTTTACTACCTTGACTTCTTGTCCAATATGAGCATTATTAATCCCCTCCACACAAGCTAGGGCACTTTCTCGAGAAGTAAAAGTAATAAAGCCAAAATATTTGCGTTTGCTGCCTAGACTCTGAGGTAACTGAACTTTCACAACCTCACCATACTGTGTGCAGATTTCTTTTACTTTCTCTTTATTCCCAGCATCAGTTAAGCCTTCCACATAGACAGTCTTAACCTAACAACAGGAAAATTTAAATTCGTCATTTATACACTTTCAATGATGAAATCAAGTAACTTCAAGCACTATACAGTAGATTCAATGATCTGTTCAGCAAATACAGAAGGTGTCTCTTATGCTGGAAAAAACTGACAAATTTAAAAATATATCAGTTTCCCATACTTCAGTAAGACGCTTAAGAGGCCCGAAAGAATTGGACCTAAAAGCTTAATTATCTTATGGAAGTATGCTATCATAATGACTTCTAGCAACCTCTCTAATATCACGAGTGTCACTACTGTACACATAAATTCCGGGTCCTGCAACAAAGGCACAAAAAAGTAGCGCAAATATTTGATTTTATTAATTAAAAGGTATAGATACAATCCTATATGATCTATCCTATTACAAAAGAACAAATCCTCTGATTTGATCTCGGAAAAGGGCTGCAACCCAACAACTACAGAAAGCTTGTTGAATCAAACCAATTGATTGATTTCTTTAAGTCTTCAAACTGAGAATGAGGGAAAAGAGACTTTATTGAGGGCTTGAATAGCTTGATCTCAGTCCAAACTTCAAAATAATCTCTAAAATAAGAGCTTGAAGTTGCATCTTTGAGAGCCTTGATGCGTAGGGCGTACTTGATGTTAGAGAACGTGGAAGGATCAACATGTAGTTGAAATGCTTGATGATTCTTCAAGAAAGTATTGAGAGTTTTTGGAGATAACTTTAAGAAAAAATATTGACAAAAAGAGTACTTGAGAACTCTTGGCCAAAAGGTACTTGAGAGCCTTGGCAGATAATTGGCCAAAAGGTCCCCTTCTTAATAATAAGAGCCTCTATTTATGGTCTCAAGGGAGGGATGTTAATTTTAGTAACCCCATTAAATTAGCATTTAATTAATTTAAATTTCTAGAAAATGATGAATCTGTACAATTTTGTATTTTGAATTCAAATTTCAACCCAATTTCCAACTTCTTAAGAAATTTTCACAAGTGTCCTTAAGGGACCAGAATCTCTGGGTTGATTCAATTGTCTAACTCAACTGTCAAAACAGTTGACAATTGTATCTTGGTGTCAACCATATTTTGAAATGGGTTAAGTACCACAATTTTGAAGGGACCCACATTTCTTTGAAGGCTTTGACCATCTTGACTTTAGTTAATCAAGTAAATTTTACTTATAACGATTCCGGTTTTGACCTGACCCTTGCTGTACTCTGGATTTGGGGTTTCATGGTTTTATATTGTTAGTCATATCTTGTTTCCCTTGTATTTCTTTAAATTTGGCTATTGTGGTGTTGTTGTTGCATTTGGAACAGGTTGGTTGCTTAGTTTCCAAACTTTTGTTGCCCAGGACTTTGCTCCTCCGGTCGAGCGGCACTTCTTGCGCTCGAGCAGGCTTTGCAAACTCTCAGTACTTTTGCAGATCTGCAAAACTACTGGGAGAGTGTATTTTACGCTCAAGCGGTGCTTTTTGCGCTCGAGCGGTCTCAACTCGAGCGGCCTTTCTTGCGCTCGAGCGTTGGTCTATTGTCTGCAAAACTACTGGGAGTGTGCATTCTGCGCTCAAGCGTCACTTTTTGCGCTCGAGAGGACTGTGCGTATATCAGTTCGCGAAAGTAACATTTTACATCACTTTTTCATATCTTTCCACTCAAAATCCTAAAATTGAGGCCCTCTCTCTCTAAAACCTATCTTCTCTCTACATTTTCATTTAGATCTAGTGGTTTCTATACCCAACTCCCTTTGTTAAAAAGGTAGAGCATGTCGTGAGCTCTCTTTTCATCCGAACAAAAGTGGGTTTAAGTTCATTTGAGGTTTCTCTACTCTCTCCTTGATCTCTAGCTTCGAGGTACGGATTTTCTACACTCTTCTATGAATTTTAACTTAGTTATTTGTTGATGTGTAAAAAATATTAGAACTTGAGGTGATTTTGAACAAACCTAGGGTTTTGGTTTAAAATCAAAAGAGGAGTTTTTAAATGTATGTGTTGAAATTGGTTATGGGATTAGATGTGAGGTTGTGTTGTGATAAATATATTGATTTGATACTCGGGATGGATTTTGGAAGAAAATTGAGTTTGGCCCTAAAATGTTTTAAATAGTTATTTTGTATAAATAAATGAAATTGGTATTAAAAATATGAAATTGGAGGAACTTTATATCAATGGTGGAGTTAGATATGTATTACCTCTCATCTATGGAAATTGAATAATTTATCTGTTTTAGAGATTGTATATCTGTTTAGAAATAACTATTTTGGGCTATCAGTGGAGGATAGCTATGATTGTCGTAGAAATTACATGAGGATTAAGTAAATTGAAACTAATCTCTTATCGGTTGTCATTGAATATGACTGTGTTTTAATACATTGTATATGTATGATGTGTGGGAGGAGAAAGGAGATGTACTCCATGTTTGGGAGGAGAAAAGGGATGGACTCCAGTAAATTAAGTTGGCCTGTGTGTCCAGGGTGAAAATCTCGAAAACCGAGCATTTACATGGGTGCCGATTCCTACGGACGAAATTTCCATAAAATGGCAAATAGATGTGTTTGTATGACAACTATATGGATTTGAGACCCAATGAGTTGTATCCTCAGTTTGGTTGATTGAATGAAATAGACATGATTAATGAATTGAGACAAGAAGCTTGGGATAGCATGGTTTTGGAAAAGAGTTGTAAATGAGTTTAAATCACGGGCATTGTATATGCATATCATACTTATATCTTTGTTAAAATTTATAGATTGTGTTAGATTGTTTCTACTGGGCTTTGGCTCACCCTATGTCGGAAAACATTTCAGGTACTGGTGATATGACTTGGAATGATTGGGAGCAAGAACTTCTCTTTTGTTGTAATTATTTTGTATAGTCAAGGGCTTTAAATGTATTGGACCTAAAGTCCATTTTTGTTGTAACCAAGAATCTACTTTGGAAAGTTGTAAGCCTTTAGAGCATTTATTATTTGTTTTTCTTCCAGTTTCTATCTCATACTGTGTTGTATGCTGTAGATTCAGGGATAAGCTCATGAATGTATAATTGCATATGTCATTCTCTTGTACAACTGAATCTCATGTAATAGAAGGATTTTATACTCTGATTCTAATTGTCATTTACTTATCGTCTTGGTTGGTTTATTGTTTTATTTCGGGGCCTTACATTACTAGTACCTATGAAGCATGGGCATTTCCTGGTATTGATACTATGGATGGTTACTTTTGCATACGTATCGAGTACATGAAACATGTCAAATTTTATCTTCTTAAATTCTAGATATATCTAGTATATACACAGCGTACTGGGTACGCCAAATGTATGCCAGGTGCAGCAAATACATTTGGGTATGTCGTGAGTACGACACCAGTACAACAAAGTGATTTTTATTTTATTTTTTTGTGCAGCTATTAGAATTTAGTACAGCCTTTATTATTTTTCTTTCAATTTTGAAAATATCAAGTAATTTATTTCCAACATCTTTTACCTATGAGTCGTGATTTTTCTCTCTTTTGCATCTTGTTTTAGACAATCAAAAAAGAAAAAGAAAGAATTATTTAACTTTTTAGACAAGTTCTCTTTTCAGTTTAACTTAGATTTGGATGTTGGATGTTTAAATAAATAAAAAAAAAATTTGCGTCACCCAGCCATACCCATATCCTACTTTTTAAAAAAATTTACCATACCAACGTACTCGTATCGTACCAATACCAGTACCTGTACACGTGCTTCATAGGTTTTAACCAATTGGACGATGATTAAGCCATGTCAAAATTTAGGTGTCTACTGTCACAACACAGAACACTAATTAAAACAAATGACTAAGATGTCACAATTTTTGACCTAATATTAAAAATCCTAGTAGATGGAGCACCTTTCACGATGACACGCCTTTGGGCTAAGTACTTCCCAAAAATGACTTGCACCCAAGCAAATTTCAGGTTCAAATGCACAAGTTTTATATAATTCATCATCAAGAATTAAAGTATTTTTGTTACCAACATATTTTTTTCAATTTATGACTTTCCACAAACACTAGCAAGACTCGAATTTCTAACCTGAGACAGAATTTCTTGATTTGGGTGCATTGGGGTTTGTGCAAAAGCAACCTTAGCACTTCTATCACGACCAAAGACAGCATCTGGCTTTCTTAGTCTTTGAAATGCTGCCATTGCATCCGAGTGGGTGCTGAACTCCAAAAGAGCAAAACCTTTGATCTTCCCTTCTTTTTGAGGATCATCTGGCAAATATATCTCTTCAATATTTTCAACTCCATAGCTTTTCAATGTTCCCAGCACCTTCAGAGGGAAAGAAACAAACGATGTCAGATCATCAATGCAAGGATGACCTTCAGTAACAATGCAAGGATGTGTATTAAAAGCTTACATGCTCTTTTGTCCATAATTTGCAGATGTTGCCCATATAAAGAGTATCATTATCCTGACTTGCTGATATTACAACGTGTTTGCCTCTCACCTTGCCAGAAGAAAAGACCACATTATTGCCATCTTAAATTAACATTTTGAAAATTATGCTTTTATTTTTCCTTTGCAAAGAAAATTTCATATTAAAAGTCAATATATAAAACCTGGATCCCTTCGTTCAATGCAGAAAGAGCATTCTTTGCTTGCTCAACAGTCACGTATTGAATAAAGGCAAATCCTCTACTCTTATTTGTAGTTGGATGCCTTACTATCCTAGCGGCTTTTATTTCCCCAAACTTTCCAAACACTTCAATCAGATCGTCCTCAACGGCCCCTTTATCCAGTCTTCCAATAAAAATTTCGAAATCCTTTTTTTTCTTCCTGTCAGTGATGTGATTATTGATAAATTCAGCAGGCTGTTCCTCATCTTCATTATCTTCTTCATTGTCCCCGATATCTTCCTCATCCTTTCCACCCACCTCACCCCCTTCTTGCCCATCACTACGCTCATTGAGAACAGGAAAATTGTCATTGTCTACAAATGCCTCAGCATCATCAATTTGAGCAGCAGCAGTTCCTTCTTCAGATGAGTTCTGTTCTGCAACTATAACAATTACTTATTGTCAACTGATGACCCTGATCATAGTAACACCAAGGAATTGCATACAGATACACAAGTAGTTCAACATAGAAATGAGAAAAACAGTGTCAATAGGGAAAACAAGGACAAACGTGGATACACATCAGAGAAATCACATGAAGTTAAAAAGATAGGATTAGAAAACATATGAAGTTAAACAGATAGGATTAGAATGGGCACCTAATGAGTCTGCGAAACATAGTCAGGTAAACAACACAACAATAGCTGAGTGCAGAGGGTAAGTTATCGCAACACCTTTATTGAATTCACCATAATTATGTCATTTGTTGTAAACACTGTAAAAAATATATTTTTATCTTTCTCATCTCTCTTCTACTGATAACACAATTTAAGAGAAGTGGCGCGAAGACAAAAAATAAAAGGACTCAACTCAAAAAGCCATGGACTGAGTTCCCCCCAATGGTGCCTCAATTGCCAATGCATACTCTTATTTCTGAAACTGTGACGGTTCATCGTTATTTTTCTTTAGTTCCAGACAGTGGCAAATTCAATAACAACAAAGCACATGTTGCTTCCATTCATTCATTAGAAGAGGCCATTGTGCAGAATAGTTCAATCAATCTAGGGTGTTGGAAGTGGTGGACTAGTTACTAAACTGACGACTGGCTTTAATTGCACAAAATAACATCAATAGCCTCAAATTCACATTTTCACACTCAACAGCCCAAGTCTCATACCACCACCAAGAAATAACCCCAATTTCTTCATTCATATAGTGTTCTTCAGCAAAGGGAGGGAAAAGAGTAGATTGGGAATTCAGAAGATGTGGAGAAATTATGGATAGTGCTTTCATCCATTCTTATTCTTGTTATAGAGCCTCACTCAACCAAGAATTCAAATAATTGCTGGGTGAAATTGCAGCCCAAGGTACAAATCATTGAGCAAGGAGAAGGAAACACAATGAAGTTAAGATAGCAGCAATTGAGTGACTCAAGCCTTCATGTGGTTCACTTCTTCTTTAGTGTAGTTAAAATTTACTCTCCCCCAAGGATAAAAGACATCTTATCTACATATATATATATATATATATATAATCATATTTATAAGTATCTGAGCAAAGACTGCCCACTCTTAATCGCAAATCAATGATCTGGAACCAAAAGAAAAATCTGTGAACACTTCAAACCATTTGTTTTGTTACATATTTGTTTTCTTAATTTAAAAGCTACCTCTTGACACCCTTTTGCTTGACTAGTATAGTGCCTCCAAATTGAGATTTTAAGGTATTAGTACTACCTGAAATCTCAGCCAGGGATTAACAGAGTTTTCAGGCAAAATTTACAGCCTCAGGCCTTGAAAACATTATTATCATGAGAAATTAGGTGAATGACCTTGTCAAATTATCCATGAATCATCTTTTATTTGCTTTTAAAGTTGATTGTGTATCAATAACATTTCCTAGGCCCACTAAAATCTTTAAATTGACGGGGATCTTCAAAATTAATCCTCAGTGGAAAGAAGATGACAATCATCCGATAATAATATATTTATCTTTACTCAAAAAAGAAATTTAAGTTTCGGAAAACATCAAAATAGATGATAATTTATATACGAACACCATCATCCCTTAATCTCTCTTTTCATTTGACTTAATTCTTTGTAGTATGTGGAGCATTTCCAATTCTTACTCTCTTCTTTTATCAAACTTGAGTGAAAATTTGGTTAAAAGTTTGATCCGGTAAGGAACACTCCAATCTTTACTATAAAAAAAATCGTCCATTATTTGCGAAAGAAAATAATTTAAAATCTTTATTATTTTTAAAATTTCATCAAATTTGAGTAAAAAGATGACGTTGAGAATTTGAAAAAGATTTTATACATCCTTGATTTAGCAAAATTTTTTCTCCCTCCCTATTTGATACAAGTTGAATGAAATGATTGGAGCTCATTTTAGTTCTTTATTCATCAAATTTGAAAATTGGATGAAAGAATTGGTTAGTGTTTTAAAAGGCGCTATTAGGTGAGCGCCTAAGCGTGAGGCGACATGAGGTGTAGTCTTGCACTTCGAACAAGTCGAGACAAGGCGAAATACACAAGGCGCAGCTTAGGCGCTAAGGGCGAGGGTTTTTTTTCAAGGCGCGAAGCGTGGGCTTCATGGGATTTACCTATTTGTCTACTCCAACTGTTGATTAAGTGCCTTTTGTGGGCATACACAGGGATTCAAAACTCTTCAATATAAAATGACTAAACGTGATCAAAAGAGAGCAAAAAGTGATAAAAGATTGAATATTATGCTTTATATCTTTTGTTAGATATTTCTAATTTTTAAAAGATTAAATATTATGTTTAAATATTATCAGAAATAGTTATAATTTTTGAAATTCTATTTATATTTGTAATGTTGAAAAGTCTGCCTATTTTATAATTTTGCTTTTCTTCTATTACTTGTTCTGCGCGCACCTCGCCTCGCACTTAGGCTATAGGATAATTTATCGCCTCGGTGCACCCAGAGCCTTTTAAAACACTGGAATTGGTGAAGGATTGGAGATGCTTTTATACAATATAACGCAATTGAATTCAGCTCAACTCTAATTTAAGAACAATCAATCAGACGCTAAGAAAAAGTTATAACCATTACCAACATGTATTCCTTCATTCTGTTCACCCTCTACTTCTTTTTCCTCAGCTGCATTGTCAAACTTGTCATGATCACCCTCCATTCTTTCTCCATCCTCCATAAAGCTCACAGGATTGACATTGACGTTCCTCTCCTCCTCCTTAACCTTCGTTTCCACTGCTGTACTCATTACAGCCTTGTCTGCATAATTTGAGTCTAAAACCCTAAGTTCTTGCTTGATTTCCACTCCGGCGATCATCAGCGGCGCCGCCTGTTCGCCGCCTTCGTCCTTCACCACAGCAGATAGAGCTTCTTGGCCTTTGTGTTCCGACTCCGGCACTGTGTTGATCTGGTCGGCCAGACTCAATTCGAGCTCCGATTGTTTCGATTTCCATGTCGATTTCTTACGAGTGGCCGATCGAGGGGGCATGGTCTGGTCTGTTTGTTTCTCTCTCTCTCTAAATTCTCTCTCTTTCTATATATATAGAATGTACAAAATGTAATTATTGGCTATTGAAATTGAAGAACAAACAATGTAGGTAGGGTTTTACAGAGAAATTGAGAGTGTAGAGCTTACCGAACAAAAAATAAAACAATAGGGAGCGAATTGATTGATTTCTCCTTTTCTGGTGGAACCACAGATGGCAGAAAAAATTGCAAGAAAAGGAGAAGAGACAAAGGTATAGAAATTTGATGTGAACGGATGGTTGTTTAAAAAAAACTTATTAATTTAAATTTATAGTAAATAAAATAAAAACGACAAATTTTTTTTTAAAAAAATTGGCCTAAGATCTCTGTCTAATTTTTGGGTAAGAAATGAGGTTCACAATAATATTTTTTAATGTCTAAGGTTCTTCAACCTTATTTTAGGTTGTGAAATACCTAATTCACCTTTCTTTATAACCTACGTAGTTTTGGATTTTGGCAAACTGAAGATTTTATTGCTGTTTTATAAGAGATTGCGTGGGGATGGATTTGACAATGGAGGTTTTGTAGGAGATTTCATAGAGATTTTGAAGGTGTTGCAGTGAATTTGACAATGGAGATTTTGTAAAAGATTGCTGCGATCGTGTAGGTATTACAATGGAATTGATTGTTTTTGTTGTGATTTCCAGTGAAATTGAATCAGGTATGTTTCGATGGATATTTCATATAGATTTCGGTTTTTGATTTGATTTGTATGTAAAGACTTAGATTTCATATTAGTTTTTTGAACGTATTTTGAATTAGGTTTTCGTTTTCAATTTCAATGAATTTGAGAGAGAGGCTATCTAAGTGAAGTTGTTTTTTATTTTTGGAGTTGATTTTCATTCTCTGTTATTGATTAATTTTAGAAAGAGGGCAGCTCGATGGAGTTGATTTTGATTTTGATTTTTTGAATTCATTTTTCATTCTGTATATTTTGATCAATTTCAAAGAGTGTCTAGCTCAATGGAGTTGATTTTGATTTTCGGAGTTTATTTTTCGTTCTCTATTTTTCATTAACATGCTTATCAATGATAAGTTTTGTTTTCTATTTTTTCATCAACACGCTTATCATTCTTTGTTCACTAAGTTTTGTTCTCTGTTTTTTCTACACTTTTTTTTTTTAATAATCTGGAGAAAATTGTAAGTTTATTTTTATAATATAAGGAAAATCACAGAGAAAATTATAATTTCATATAGACATATTATAAGTTTCTAATCTAGATAAAATTATAGAGAAAATTGTAAGTTTATAGTCCAGTAAAAATCACAGAGAAAATTATAATTTCTTATGGACATGTTATCATAAGTTTGTTATTTTTTATTTTCTCAATTGAATATTTTGTGAGCATACCAGATATTTTCTATGATTTTCTCTATATTTGTGTGGAATAGTTAGCATTTTTGTCTTTTGATGTTAATGTATTTTTGTTTTTGTGATCTTAAAAGTGAATATAAGTTCATAAATTTCTCTAGACTTTTACTTGTAATCCAGAGAAAATTATAAGTTTGTTATTATAATCTAAAGAAAACCATAATTTTATTTGGACATATTATTATAAGTTTGTTATTTTTTTATTTTAATGTCCTCTGGATTAGATATATGGATTAGGGAATTAATTGAATGTTTTATGACAAAATCTAATTTTCTCTATGATTTTTACTGTGTTTTTGTTAAATACTTAGCATTTTGTGTTTTGATGTGAATGTGTTTTTGTTTTTGTATAAATTTGTATGTTTATGTTATTTTTTATGTGTTTTTATACTAAACAAGTTATTTTTCTTTTTTTTCTTCTTCAATTTAGATGGATAGTGCAGTGTTGTTGTTGTGCAATTGTCATTAATGTTTCATGCGAATTGAACTTTGAGGAATTGATTGGTATTTTGTGTAAAACATGAGAGAATTTGAAACCTAAGACGATCTCTATTTCATATTGTATTTGTGGGGCATCTGAATTGTATAGTTTGAAATAATATTAATTTTCTAAATATGTTGAGGGTTGTTTGTATGCGTGGTGTTGATATAGTTGATGTTTCAGTTGTTAGGTATAGTACTTCTAATCAAGAGAATGAAGTGTGGTCTAATTAGATAGATGTTGCGCAGGGTAAATGTGATAGGCTTGTGGATACTGAAAGGAATTCACTGTCTAAGTTTTGTTCTTACTAAGAAAACGTGTTATTGTCATCTGGTCAGCGAAATAATATTAGAAGTGTTGGACAAAAGTTTGAGGGTGGCGTGGTTGAGCTCCGTACTATTTTGTGCAAATAAGCTATTGAGGTTGGTTTTGAGTTTACGTATGTTAAAAATGACATGCTAAGAGTTACAGTAGAATGTGCATATAAGGAATCAATGAGATGTATAAGATGTGTACATGCTTCAATTGAAAAAACAAATGGGTTCTTTTACATAAGAACTTTGAACAATGACCACACGTATGGTGTGGCAGTTCGTACTAGTAAACATGGTAGGATGACTTCCAACTTAGTTTTTGGGCTAATACTTGGAGAGGTAAGTGTGAAGCCGCTAACTCGTCCAGTAGATGTTGTCAAAGAAATGAAAGACAAATATAGGGTCTCAATCAGCTATAACCGTGGTTGGTTAGGGATTAAAAAAGCAAAAGGTAGTACATATGGGGATTCTTGTTTGTCATTTAATCAATTACGTTGGTATTTTGATGAGGCATGGAAGAACAATTCAGATAGTTGTTTTGAGTTAGATTTTGAAGATAACAAGCGTTTTAAAAAAGTGTTTGTGGCTTTTCATGCATGCATTGTTGGTTTTAACTATTGTCGACCATTATTGTTCCTTGATAGAACTTTTTTGAAAGGACGATACAAAGGAGTTATGCTTGCTGCGACAGGAAAAGATGGCAATGAAAGTAATTAGAAATATATCAAATTTTTTCTAAGTATGTGAATTTTTTGTAGATATGGGAACTGGGTGAATTTTTTATGTCTGTGGTCATGTTTTGTGAATTTTGTGAATTTTCTCTAGATTTGGCCACTGTGTGAGTTTTCTCTGGATTTGGCCACTGTATAAATTTTCTTTGGATTTTGGCCATTGTGTGTGTAAATTTTCTCTAGATTTGGCCACTGGAAATTTTCTCTAGATTTGGCTATTGCGTGTGAATTTTCTCTGGATTTGGCTACTATGTGAATTTTCTCTTGATTTGGTCACTGTGTGTGAATTTTCTCTAGATTTGGCCACTATTTGTAATTTTCTCTGGTTGTTCAATGTGCGAATTCTCTCTGCATGTGTATATCTACTATGCTTATTCCTATTTGTTTTGTAGGGTTTTTTTCCTCTAGCTTTGTCATTTGTTGATGTTGAGAATAAGAACAATTGGTGTTGGTTCCTTGAACATTTGTGTCAATTATTGGAATCGAAGAGGATGATAAGTTTCATATCAGATCAATATTGTGGTATTATGGAAGGAATTGCAAGGTTTTTCCCTAATTGCTATCATGCATTTTGTCTTAAATATCTAAAGAGAAATTTGAGGGATAATTTATTATGTGGAAACACAAATTTGGTTAGGAAGATGATCGTGTCCAAGTTTTCAAAATGTGCATATGCTCCAACAATGTCGTTGTTCCATTTCAAGTTAAATGAATTAAAAAGTGAGGGAGGAGACATTGTGAGTATTTTCTTGAGAAGTTTACCATATGAAAATGGAAGTGATGTATATTTTGAAAGGAAACGTTATGGAAAAATGTATTCAAATGTTGCTGAGTCATTCAATTCATGGATATGAGAAGCTACGCACTTACCAATAAAAAAATTGGTGGATATGATACAGTTGCAAACTATGAATATGAGGTCCGATAGAAGGCTAATGATGTAGGTCGAAAGGTACCACATTGAGATCGTTTAAGTTACATTTATAGTCTTTTTAATTCTGTTTATTTGGTGGAGATGATGTGTTTGTGCACTTGTACAGATTTAACAACAAATATGCAAATTCAATCAGAAAGGGCACAAAAGCAGATTCTCCGTGCGAGAAGCGAAAAATCCAAGCTAGCCACCTTATTGCACGTGCGGCCCAGCTTTACCACACATGCGGCCCACCACCGCTCAAGCGGCCTACCTAGGGATGCGTGCGCAGAATTTTGGGTGTGCCCTACTGAGAATAAAAGAAGGAAAAATAGGCTAACCTAGGGTTCAAAATTTATTCTAAGGAAAGAGAGACTAGGGTTTAGAGAATGTGATTTTTCCTTAAGCTTGATAGACAATTTTCATGGAGGCTTCCATCTCTTCCACCTCTTCCCACTCTTCCATGAGTAGCTAGGCTCTCCTTCCTCCATGAGTGGCTAGGCTCTCCTTTTCTAGGGTTTTGATGAAACCCTAGCCATGTAAAAGGGATTTTTCGTAGGCTTTAATTGTGAAATGGTTTGAACACATGTATGGATGTTTTAGAAGTTTATAATAATTGTTTTTTCATCTCTTCAAGTATTTTACTCTCTGTGATTGTGTAATACTTTCCATACATTAGTTTTCTTTGTGTTTGTGTTCAAAGTACGAGACGAGTCATGCTACGAGAGACAGGTTGTGTTGCTACCATAGTTTAGAGCAAATGTCTCGTGCTATTCCGGATGACTCGTGCCTGTACGTTGAATGCAACAACCCTCTTGATCAATATTTCAAACTTGTAGTTGTGAAATATTGGATATTTCAAACTAGATTGCAATTGATGGCTGATGTTTAATCTCTTTTATATGGTTAGTGGTGAATTCTTTGCCCTAGGATTTTTCCCAAAAATCAATCTCTCAATCCCCACGTTTAATTGTCAACTTAATTTCTCAATTTCATTTAATTCCTGTTTAGTCATAAAATCTCTCAATCTTTTTAATCAAAATTAATTTTGAAATTTAGCGATTAAATTAGTCTAATTTCAGAATTGTCCCTGTGGATCAATACCTAGACCTGCCATTATTCTAAAAGAATTTGGTATAGTTTAGTGTTTATATTTGGTGTGTGTAACGACCCACCAAATTTTGGCGCCGTTGCCGGGGACTTTTGGCGAAATTGAGTAATTTAGAGTTACATTCCTATTTTAATTTGTAATTTAGGATTTTATATTTTTGTGTTGCTAAGTGTGCAGAGTATTTGCAATCGGAACCATCACTGAAGTGCAAGCGAAGCGCAGCCAAATTTTAAACAAAAACACTGCAACACCAAAGTGCTTTAAAAAATAGAAACAAATACTCGCAAACAGAGCACCAAAGTGC